TACTTGTGCCGAAAGTGAAGCAAGTTTTCGCATTAGCGGGGCCGAAATTGGTGTGGCCCAGTCGTACGATGATGTTACAATGGAACGTTCCAGTTCACGAGCAATTAGTAGATGGCCGTCTTAAAATTTGATATTTTTCGCAAAAATAAGGAATTTTTTAAGGTTTACAAACAGAAAAAACTTATCGAAACAAAAAAATGGCGAGAAAGGACGAACGTAAAATGGGAAAAGGTAAAAAAACATGCGAATATTTTTTAGAAAAACAAAAAAAAGCTAACTTAATTCGGCGAAACAAATCTGATTCTGTTCGCTGGCAAGTATCTGCATCATTGCGAATGCGAGTGGCTTCGAAAGCATGCTCGTCGATGCGCCAGCGTAGCATTTCAGTACACGTATGGCTGCTTCCAGAAAGCGTGATTTCTCACGCGATACATTTTCCGATATTTGCATCAGTAGCGAGAGTGCATGATCGGATAAAGTTACGCGGTTCCAACTGCAACAACAACAACGATTGCTTTTATCAATTGGCATATCCAACTTTTAAACGGAAGGAGCATTCCAAGCAGAACACCCGCTGGCTACTTCGTGGCATGACAGTTGCTGATTTCGGCTTCAGTGACCCGGCAAATGGAAAGCTGCTAGTGCGCAAAAAAATCTTTGGGTTTGATTTTTTCTGATTTTATTTGAAATTTTTATTTGAAATCTTTGATCAATCTGATAAATTTGTCAAAAATTTATCAAATTTATTTGATTTATCAATTCGTCAAAAATTTATCAATTTATCAAAAATTTATCAATTTATCAAAAACTTATCATTTTATCAAAAAATTTATCAAAAATTTGATAAATTTGAAATCTTGCAGTCGCACACGGGCAAGGAAAATTTCCTTAAAATTCCAGCTTCTCTCGCTTCCGAATTAGCTATTTTCTCGCCAAAACATTCACGTACCCGTACATCAGTCTGGGTGGTTCTGAGGAACAGAAATGGAAATCTTTTGGTCGTACATGGGTAGTAAACATTCCCGCAAAATTCCAGCTTTGCTAAGCACATGTTTTTTTATTTCTGCAAACACTTTTTTGAAATTAAACTCAATTTTGTTAACTTTCAATGCCACGCAGACGACAATTAACATCTAAAGAGCGTATCAAGTTCACTCTTTGCTACGAAAACATAATTTCAAGCATTTAATTGGAACTAATTTCACGCTTCGCAATCGAACTCCCATTAAATTTCATACAAAATTACAACTTCTGCATCTCTGAAATGTCTTAATTATAATAGCAATCCTATAGAAGTCAGAAAAAACCTTACTTTTCCAGAGAAATAAGATTCACATCCGGTACAGCGGTTTCACTGGTTGCCACAATTTCGAACAGATCTTCAACTGCATTCGGAAAACTGCACACCAACTGGTCAGCCAATCCTTCTGCGTAGTCCAAGTAGTGCGCAATCTGCAAATAACGCATAAATAAAGGATATTAGCCTCAGCTGCTGTCTATCTGTCTAAAAAAAATTGCTCAATGCTCTAAGCAAATGAATAACAAACATAAGCATCACATGTCAGCATAGAAAGCTGTTGTTTCAAACCAATGCTTTTCCTATTTAAAGCATGACTTCTGGAAAGCTTCGGGTCACCAGAGCCTCGCCACCCTTTTTTTATTTTCTCTATTTCCCTTTACTTTGCATAACATTAGCTTCTGTATATAACTATAAATATATCTCTACAACTAGACGATGGCTACCCATGCACACTCATGCATACAGACACACACACTTACATATATACATATCCACAGGACACGCATATTAGTTTAACCCACAAACTTTCAAGGTCGCGATAAAAATCTGTGTGCTTATCTAATACAGGATCACTTATGCCGACTAAATAACAAATCCGCGTGAAAAAAAAAATGGCTCTCAAAATTAGGAGTTCAACTCCTGGTGTACTGATAACATAACAAAAAAGACCTATTCCTCTCATAAGGAAAATGAGGAGAGTTCGATCCTCTCCCAATCCACAAAATTCGTCTGCATTCGCAGTAAGGCTGGGTTCGGTTTTTGTTAAAACTGCATCTTGACAGCAACAAACGCCTTGGGCAAACGGTTCGAACAAAAAAAAACATATTTAAAGCAGAAAGATGCAAAAATTTCACCTGACGAAGAGCATGAGATTGGTGCTGCCGGCGATTAATCACTGGGCAACGAACTGTTGGTTCGCTGTTACGCGCTGCTGGTCGCCTGATTTCCGTGTACTGCTGCAATTTAATGCCATTAACCAGGATATGAGAGAGAAAAATAAAGTTAAAAAAAAAGACATTTCCACAAAACTGAATAAAAAACCACGGTTTCCAACTGCATAAGCTTCAAAATCATTGCAAAATACATACTTCGAACAACAACAACATCATGCTTATTACAAAAAAACAAGAAAAAACACTTTGAATAAGGCAAAACCACAAATGCTGGCTATGGCGGAGAAAGCAACACTGCGACAGATGGTAGAAGTGTCCCCTAATAAAACAGTGAAAAACAAGCACCTCGCCGTATGAGTACAGCGCAGACTGCCACTGGAAACATGAAAGAAGCTCAAGAGACGGTTCTTGACTGCCATTTAGCACTAATACATCTCAATAATACCAAGTTTTGCAGCAACAGTACGAGTTTCCTTGACAAAGTTTTAAGAAAGGTACTTCGATAAACTTTTAATAGCAGCGTTTCAGGAAAATGGCTAATTTGCCGTATTTTTGAATTACAATAAGACTTACATTGGGTGGTGGCGGCAATGGACCGTAGAATCCCCAAGACTCACATGCCGATTGCAGCTGCTGGTGTTCGTTA